TCAGTTTCCCCTCCCAATTTTCATTCCACCAAATTCTCCATCATCATAATCCCCCAGGGCAGGCTACAAGGGGCCAATCAGTGGCCGCCGGGCGGAGTGGATCCAGTTGGACTCTCCCCCCCCCCCCCACTAAGTGAACTTAAATTTAATTTTAACTAATCTATACTACGAATGCCTATTTTTAATTTCCATACTGGCTCCGCTGAAAATATTTAGCGTAGAAAGTATAATATCAGGAAGGTTATGAAAGAAAAGAATTAGTGCAAATTAGTAATACTCGTAGTACCGTTAGATGCTTCTAGAAATTCGCCGGTAGATTGAGAAAACGCCATGAATATATTCAGTAACAGTAACCAGTCCTTCTTGTTGAAAGGAAAATGAGGGCGATTGTAGGCTTCATAATTAAGAACTCCGTAATATGGACTATTTGGTCAGTATTGTTAGGATGATCAAATTAAGGAGGGTGAGGGGGTATGGATATTTAGCACATATGGCTGAATTGAAGAGTGCGCTCAGAATTTTGGGAGGAAAGTATTTAATCCTCTGAAACCTGAAGCTAATCTAAATAATTTTAGCATCCTGTTTCACATTTTAATTAAACGTCTATGTATCAAGTCCGTCAATGATGCAACAATCATTAAAATATTCATCATTTAACACTAACACAACATGTTTCGGCCACAGACGGCCAACATCTGGTGTTTCAATTCGTCCAAACTGTTAACACTGCTTTAATGCGCGCTAAATTTGCGCGTTGCAGTCCAATTAAAATAATGAATTTTAAGTAATTATTTATATTTTTTTAAGTTGACTGCAACGCGGAAATTTAGAGTGCACCAAAGCAGTGTAACAGTTTGAACGCATTGAAACACGAGAGGATGGCCGTCTGTGACCGAAACATGTTGTGTTAGTGTTAAATTCAATTCAATTCAATTCTTTATTATTAATGTGCCGAGTCAACAGCCGCAGGCCAATTACAGACACAGCACAGTGCAGATGAATGAATTACATTATAGACAAACTTATTAAAAGTCAAATACAAATTACAGGTAAGTACTTGGAAGAAATAATAATGAATAAAAGTAAAAGTAAACAAACAAATAGCTGATAATTATGACAGTAATAATAATTTCATTATCATTAAACTAAGTGTTATTACGAATTGAGGAATGAAACATAAATATTTAATTAAGAAATGAATAGTATAGATTTTCAGAGGATAATAATAATATACGTAATTCATTTTGTTTTACTGGACATGCAAATAATAAAAATACTAACAGTTATACTATATTTAAAATTTGTTTGGGTAGAACATTCCTGGGTGAATATTTTAATGATTGTTTCATCATTGACGGATTTTATACATAGACGTTTAATCTAAATAATATTTAAGCGTTTAGTTCCTACCTCAGAGATAATAGGCTGCATTTTCGTTTAAAAAATTAATGCTACTCGTGGAAATGAATGCTGTTCGTTCTGAGAATCACGCGAAAAACACAACTAAGCTTACAATCTGTAGGAAGAATGCAGATCTACTGTATTGAAGCAGGTGGTACATACAGTACCCACAGTGGTTAGAGATGAATTGAACACGAGAGACGCGTTTAAGTCATGACTTGTTGTCTGCTTCATGCTTGTTTATTCCTCCAGAGCATCGACTGACTTTCAGTTGATTACATAGCGTTATATCCTAGATGGTAGAACTCTTCAGTCATTTGTTTGTTGTTGCGACATTTATACATAACATTTTCTTAGTGGCACTCAGAACGGATGTATATTATAATAAAAACAAAAATACCAAATAATTATCATTCTTGTTCTTTAATTAACATGTAGAAATGAGACAGTACTACGATGATGAAAAACTTTGATTCATTTGGCACAAAATAAATATATTTGCAGTCTCTTGTGGATGCGGTATCATCTTATCATGTCATGGAAGAAAGGGCAATTTCTTGGAGCAACTGTTGGCTTCTCCAGAACGAATTTTCTCACTTAAGTTAGCCAGCTTGAGTTGTAGGTTCTAACTTAGCAATTTAACTGAAACAGCAGTCAGTTTGACTTATACTCGCGAAGTTCCTGATTCGAGTGTCGGCCGAGACACCGATTATGCTGCCTGAGAATTGTCATGGTTTTCCTTAGGTCCTCCAGTCAAATGTTGGTATAGTAACTAAAGCTAGGCTGTAACAGTTTCCATAACGATCCCCTTCAATTCCAATGATTCAGTAATCATTCTACCATTCGAAGCTGTGTAATCTGAGATTCTGACAGCATATTATATAAACCACAAAAAAATGCAGTCTCTGATAATTTTCTCCAATCTCTTAAGTAATTTATGATGTGCAGAAAGGCACCATTAAAACATCATACAGAAATTTCATTCGATATTGAAAATCTGATTTCAGTTGACGCTCCTTACATTTCGCTAAAGCTCCAAATTAGTCATAATTTTTGTTTGTGTAACACTGATGCCGCTTTTGACACCAGGCAGTGTGAGAGTGACGTCACAACGTGGCTGTATATAAAAGTTGTGTGAGCGTCTCGACGCTACAGCAGTAGCAGGAGACCGACGCCGACGCACGCAAACCTGTTGCGCTCCTGTCCCTTCCTGGCACAACGAATAAAGGTAAGGTTTACATTGTTTACTTGTTCCTGGCGCCCCTCCGAGTGTAATATGAAGATACAGTTGACGAACGGAAACCCATGATTCACGTCTGTTGCTTAGAGATGAATCCTACATTTTATCAATAAACTGAAAATTCACTAAATGGTGACCATAATAATATAAGCGGGTATGGGATTAACGTTTATAGCGCTAGTATTACAAAATAAGAAATTGTTTATATTATTTGATTAATTAAATTATCATAAGTATCATAGTATCACCGTCTTCCTCCGCTCAAACGCTGGGATCGTGAGTTCGAATCCAACTCGAGGCAACTGTGTGCGTTTATTTTGTTTGTGTTGTCCTGTGTGCAGGTAGCGGGCTGATCCCCAGTCCAAGGAATCCTATCCACTGTGTATAGGATTAAGAAACTGAAAAGGCGGCCATGGCCCAACTAAGGGATGAACCATAGATAGATAGATAGGTAGACAGACAGATAGATAGATAGATAGATAGAGATAGATAGATAGATAGATAGATAGATAGATAGATAGATAGATAGATAGATAGATAGATAGACAGATAGATAGAGAGCACTCTGTTAGGGGAGCTAGAAAACTCCACACTACTGATACCGAACCCCACTAGTAGACACGGTCCTCATCCAGTTCCGTGTAATTCCCATCTTAATCTGTCTCCTTAAGATCGACCTTAGTGTTGTCCTCCTATCAACCTCGGCCTTCTAAAGGACGCAAAATAAATTAAATATGCATCTCATAATTGCCCTTTCAACCTACACGTAAAGCATGACGTAAACTCATATATTGGTCGATCCTTCGATTCTTTAACAGCGCGTATTTCATACAGCATTGAATGGTAGCTTAACTGTGCATAATGAATTTGAAAGGACGTAGAAGGAAGTTGCAATCGCTACATTAAGGTACCATCCCAGTGTTTGGCAGATCGGATTAAAGAAGGCCATACAAATGAGTCCAAACAGAACAGCTGGTTCCCGCGCAGAGATTCGAACTCTAAAACTTCTGGTATGATGCTAGTATGGTAACCACTGAAGGTCGATTTGTAATAGTAACCTCCTACAGTTCAAAGGCATACGTAATAAACAGAGTAATGTTGTTCAAAATCCAATTTTCTTCAAAACTGGACAAGAATATATGGCATTATTCATAAAAACCTACGTGCGGTTCTGTGTGCATTTGTAGACTAACACGCAAAATATTCGCCGGAGAGAGAAATGCCTTGGAGAAAGTTACGGGGGGGGATAAAAATCACGTTTTACACGTATGTTCAATAATTCACGTTTTCAGTGCGTCTTACAGTTTTCGAGAAAATTAAGAAAAAATGAACGAAGGCACCAAAATTGTTACTTCAGTGTGAAGCTAAAATGGAGCCCGTGTTATGACGGGATGCAAAATTCATGTATGTACATTATAATATAAATTATTGCTTACCCGCCCTATCTTAATATTATCTCCCTTGTGAAATTTTAACTGGAGAACCGTAGAGTAGTACGAGATACCACGCAACAATAATGGTGCTCAGAATTATTGAGTTTTTGGACTTTTCCCATCGTCCGGAATTCTAGGTAACACAGAACACGACGTTTCGGAAACTGGATCTGTCTCCGTCTTCAGGTGAGAAAGGAAGACACCTGCTCAGTTGGGCCCCTTAGAAAGAGCTAATGTCAATCACTGTATTTAGCTCTTTCTAAGGGGCCCAACTGAGTAGGTGTCTTCTTTATTACCTTAAGACGGAAACAGATCCAGTTTCTGAAATGTCGTGTCCTCTAAAAAGTAAAAAAAGTAAAGCTATCCCTGTAACAGGCCGTGAAGACCCATAGGGCTGTGAGGCGTTGAGGGTCCCACTTTATCTAGACAATCGGCTCAAAGATGGTGGTAAGGTTGTCAGCCTTACGCGCCGGCCGCGCTTTACTCCCCAGGAAAATTATTAAATTAATTCCTGGTACTCATTTCTGTTAGAGGCTGAGTAAACCCCAGGGCCATAGTGCGGCCGGAAGGATTAGGTCAATTGAAAAAATCCAATGACCTCATCGGGACTATTACCTAGAATTCCGGATGATGGAAAAAGTCCAAAAACCCAGTAATTCTGTGTCATCCACCATCGTCAGAACCATTTAGAATAATGGTGCTGTCTACATACGAAATTTGAGTGAAATATAATACCTCTTTAATCAAAAGTTTCATGGAGTTTGGATCCTTCGAATTATTTTTCATGCCTCATTTAACGATATTCATGTTAAAGCATCGATTATGCAGCGTCAAATGGGAGAGCGATAGCGAATGATGAACTGGAAATAAAACGTAGAAGATAGTAGTCTCGGCTTATTTTAAGATACTGTCCCAGTAAGAAAGGAAAATAAAAAAATCATCATTCGTTCTTTTATTTGAGTTTACTTAGCGACACCGGAAGATCCGACTGCGCAGCGTGGAATGGTAGAATGATAGGCGAAAAAGCACACAAAAAGAATTTGTCGTGGCATCATTTGACGTACTACCTCTGAATTTATATGACGAATTTGAAGATAACAACGAAACACCTTCGTCAGTTTAGCCAGTCTCCAGACTGAGAGTTCAGCCCGTGACTTACTGAATAATAATTTAGAGTATTACCCACATTATCGAGAGCCGGGATAGCGCAGTTGGTATAGCGACTGGCTACGGGGCTGGACGACCGAGGGTTCGGAGTTCGAGTCACGGTAAGGTCAAGAATTTCATTTTCTCCACGTCGTTCAGACCGGCCCCCCCCCCCACAAAAAGCCTCATATCCAATGGGTATCGGGGACTCTTTCCCCGAGGGTAAAGCGGTCGGGGCGTGAATCTTACTACTCGCCTCCAATTAGTACTGAGGTCAAGAAAGTATGTATCTAGACATCCACTCCTCCATACGCCTTCATGGCGTAGTGCTTAATTAGTTAAGTACAGGGACAATTTTACCTTTTTACCTTTATTACCCACATATCTGACGTCCGAACCTGGGAGCAGGCCTTCCAGATATTCGAAACAGTAGAGCCTACCACTTTTCGAAGGTGTTTTGTTTCGGAATTAATAAACATTGTTTCAATTTACATACTTTTCATTATATACCTACATATACAATGTCCTGCAACAGGGTGTCCATGGCTTAACTACATGTTCTTGGGATTATTCTGAGCCTAAATTTGAAACAAACATAGGTTCGGTCTCCAAAGGTTTCTGAAGAAAAGGAATGGGAACACAATGAGAACCAGGAATCTTCCTGGGGGGAAAGAGCGGCCGGCGCTTAAGACTGACAACCTCTACTCCATCTGTGAGCCGATTGTCTAGAAAATGTGGGAGCCTCGACGTGTCACAACCCTATGGGCCTTCACGGCCTGTTACAGGGATAGCTTTACCTTGTTAATAATAATGTAATCTAAAATTAGATGAAGGTAATGTAGAAATTATCCGGTCACGGTAGCCGAGCGGTCTAAGGCATGTACTGTCTTCGCTCGATTGGAAACCGGGATCGTGGGTTCGAATCCCACTCAGGGCATGGATGTTTAGTTTGTGCGTGTGCGTTTTTCTGTATTTGTGTACAGGTAGAGGCCTTGCGACGAGCTGATCACCCGCCCAAGGAGTCCTACCGAATGTGTAAGATCTAGAAAAACGGAGAAGTTCATGGAGGTAGGCCTAGGCCCACTGGGGCTGTAGTGCCAAGGGGAAAAAAATGTAGAAATTACGAATGCAGTACAAACCTCATTCTCATTTTCTTCGCGGCACACCATAACAATTTGTTAAATGTACTAGTACATATTGCAAATAAAATGGGACTATAAATACAAAATAATTTCTTCGCAGATCAATCCAGTTCGCACACTAAATCCTTTGGAAACATGGCAAAGCTCACATATATGTCGCAACGAAAACATTAAATAAAAACTGCAGTTAAGGAAAAATTAAGAGCAGATTAAAATTCATGAAGTTCTTCCTGTCGTTAAATTCAGAATATGTTGTCTTCCCGCCTGCTATCTAAAACTAATTTTACTGAACTGGTCCACAGGGATATTAGTTTAGGGGAAAAAGCCTCCCACGTTCGTACAAATTCATTCACATTTCACCACACATATCAACTGCGTTCGTATTCATATAGAAACGTAACAAAACGCTCAGAAAACAGAAACATCGTATTAAAGCGAAAGATTTCTTGCTCTTTGTGGCCCATTGTAGAGTTCTATTCAAGAGAGCACAACGATTTTTTGGATGTTAACGTTCGAAAAATCGTTGGCATAGTAATTTGAAACAGAGTAATTTCNCGAAGTTTGGCACATTCCTCCTGGGACACCCTGTATATTAGAAAACTGTAGTATGTATGCGTAATGAAGTCAATAAAATAACACAGTTTAGGAGATTTCAGNCGCAGCTTGCGTAGGTCTATCTCCAAACCTTTCCCTCTACATATATATTAGAAAACTGTAGTATGTATGCTTAATGAAGTCAATAAAATAACACAATTTAGGAGATTTCACTGTTGGTATTACTGATTGGAGTGATTTATGAAATTCGCCGTTGATACGGCCTCAGATGGCATGATGCATATACCAAGTTTTATGAAGACTGGTTCTGGCATTCAGTCAATATTAAAGTTATTACCTCGATAACTTGAGAGGTCGTAGTGTTGGTGCTATTAATGACAGGGATTTATTAAGTATGTCGTTGATGCGGTTTCATGAAATGGTCTCAGGTGGCATGGTATATATATCAATTCTCATGATCGGTTGGAGCATTCGAGTAATATTAGGGGTATTATTTCAATAGTTTGAGAGACTATAGTGTTGGTATTACTGAAGAGAGGGGTTGTCATGTATGCCATTGACATGGTCTCAGGTCGAATTTTATACGCACAAAATTTCATGAAGACTGGTACAGGCGTTCAAATAATATTCAGGTTTTGCGTCAAAAATTTGAGAGGCTGTAATGTTGGTATTACTGAGGGAAGGGATTTATGAATTACACTGTTGAGATGGG